CGGGTGCGGGTGCTGACCCCTTTGCTGGTCCACTGAATGGCAGGCTCTGTTTTCAGGAAGTGTCTGATGAGGAGCACGGCTCAGGAAGAAGATGGTTGGTTCTGCCATTTTCCTGGCCTCCACTTGGTGTGGTTTGTGGTGTTTTGGCCTTTGCACTGTTTCTTTGCAGGAGTCTGTGTAAGGCATGCGTCAACTCAGGGTCAGCCAGGCAGACCCACTTTGCTAAAGTGATACTTAACATCTGCGTGTCGCCGTATTCCAAGGGCCAGCAGCCGGCTGACAGGACTCAGGTGTGAAACTCCCTCTTCCCACAGGACTTGCTGGGTGACTGGTGAGCAGTGGCCATCCACAGCACAGCCAAGCCTGGGGCAACAGGGCTCCCTGCTGCCCTTTGAGTCCCTGGGCACCGGCTAGTGCCCCGTGTTAAGTCCTCTCTGCCAAGTCGGCCACTGTGTTTTCTGGTTCCTGCCTGGACTGTCCATGTAGAGAGAGCCAGCGTCCACCCAGAGGCAGGGTGAGTGAAGCCCAATCTCATTCCTTCGTCTTAAGTAATAATCTAGCAGTGGACACAGCCCAGTTGATAGAGTGCTTGCCTCACAGGCACGAGGCCATGGGTTCAATCCCCAGCACCACACACACACACACACACACACACACACAATACAACCAGAGATATGAAAAATTGTGCAACATGAACCGAAATGCATTCTTTCTCTGTCTCTCTGTCTGTCTGTCTGTCTGTCTGTCTGTCTCTCTCTCTCTCTCTCTCTCACACACACACACACACACACACAATACAACCAGAGATATGAAAAATTGTGCAACATGAATCGAAATGCATTCTCTGTCAATATAACAAAGCAGAATAAAAAGAAAAGAAATAATCTACTCCTTCTCCCTGGGCAGCACAGTCCTCAGCCCATCAGCTGCCCCCGGCCTGGTGCCACCCTGGAGTGTGGAGAGCAGGGGGCGTCTAATGCAGGTTTGGTCACTTCCAGGCAGGCTTGCTCTGAGCCCACTGTTGCAGGCGGAAGGTGTCCCCGGAGATGTCCCCGTCCTACTTCGCAGAATCTGTGGACGTGACCCTCACTTGGTAAAGGGGACACGGCTGGTGTAATCAAATTAAGGATCTTCAGGTGAGGGGACTGTCCTGGCTGTCTAGGCCTGCCCGATCAAAGCACAGGAGTCCTTAAAAGAGGGACACAGTCCAGTGGAGGCAGGGCTGAGCATGTGCATCGGACGCTGGGTGGACTCTGGCTCTCTGAACATGACAGTCCAGGCAGGAACCAGAAAACACACTGGACCCAGGAGCCAGGAGCCAGGAGTGCAGGTGGAAACACAGGACCCAGCCTGTCCTCCCCTCCGGAGCTCCAGGGAGAGCTGCCCTGCCCACACCTTGGTTTTCAGTTCGTGGAAATCACTCGGGACCCTTGACCTCCAAGAGGTAGAGAGTTTGTGCTGTTTAAACCACGAAGGCTTACGCATTTGTTATGGTGACAGTAAGGACCCGTACACCCAGCCGGGGGACACGTAAGTCCCTCCGACTTTCATTTCCAGTCCTGGACAAGTGGGAGCGCTCAGAGGACTTCAGAGCCGCTCCCGTGGGGATCACAAGTCGCGCTGCAGAGGACACGCAGGCGCCAGGCTGTGGGAGAGCCAGGTCACCACTCCAGGCCGACGCAGGCCACACGCCAAGGCGTGAGAAGTGGGCAGAGATGGCCAAACCCAAGAGCTTCACCAAGGAGCCTGGACTTGGCCCCGTTGTCCTGGCCCAAGTCCAGGGGTAATGACAGTGGAGTCCCCCTCTCTGGAGCCAGCTGTGCGTCAGGTGCTCCGAGTACCTCCTGGTCCTCGAGGTGCCCAGCCGTGTGGTCCCATTCCACAGAACAGGGCGAGCCAGGCAGGAGAGCACCAGTGGCACCCGGTCTCACAGACGGGGGACGCGGACACAGGTCTCCAGGGCCCTGGGCTTTCCTCGCTGCCCCTTACTCACGGCCTCAAGCCCCTGCTGGAGAGGGACAGCGTGTTCTGGCACACCCTCCTCAGACCCAGGCTGGGCGGTGCCAAGGCCATGGTGAGAGGACAGTGCTGCCCCTGGCGACGCGCCTGGTCCTTGGGTGTCCTTGTCCTGGGCCAGCTGTGGTCAGTTTGCAGCCTGCCCCAAACTTCCTCCGATGATGCTGGGCCATGCTGGCTCCTCGCTCCCTCGGCCTCACACCGCGGATGAAGGGGAGAGGCGCCAGGAGAGGCTGCCCGACCCGCTACCCACTGGCCACCTTTCATCTGCTGGGCGTGGCGGGCAGACCACGGTGCTGGAACAAGCTGGAGGCCCTGGGCCACTGTCGGCCCTGCCTGGAAGGAGTGATGGGGCCCTCAGCACCGCATGGCAAGTGGCCATAGAGCAGCACCCCTGCGGGGCTGGTGGCAGGGAGGGGTGACCTGTGTGTCAGCCCTGCCCTGTCTGCTGCGGGGGGACCCAGAGGACAGGGATTTGGGGTCAGAAACCTGACACTGTCGCTTCCCTCATGCCACAGTGCCCTCGCTTGTGGGCAGGACCTCGGCCTGTGGGCACCCAGCCCCTTGCACAGCCACAGCCTTCAGGAGAGGCTGGCTCAGGTAGCCTGAGGGGTCAGGGGTGGTCCAACGGCCCTGCTCCTCTAGTCCGTGGTGGGCTTAAGCATACCCAGGTGACATAATCCAGCCAGTGACACATGAGGGCTTCTGAAGAGGGGGCTCGGGGAGAGTCGCCTCTCAAAATTGATGCCCAAGAGAGACAGGCTTTCCGCTGCTGCTGGAAGTTGGGTGAGACCTGGAAGACCCTGGTCACTTGAGAGCACGAGGAGGCCGGCAGGGCTGAGGCGGCACCCCGAGGAGGCAGCACAGCAGGACGGGCAGAGCGCGCTCTGCGGCGGCGTCCTGGATGAGCTCCGACTCAGGACCTCCTGGGAACGGGTTCCTTGTCGTCTGGTCTGAGCCTTGGAGTTGGACTACCTGCCATGTGGCCAGAAGCATCCTCTAAGTCCTAGACGCCCACCAAACTGCTGGGGCTCCGGGGTTCCCCTTTGAGAAGCAAGCACAGCAAACCATGGCGTCTCCGGTGACCTTGGTGCGCACACTGCATGCTCTGCCTGGGGGCCTGAGCTCTGTGCAGGGGCACGATGTCCTGCAGGTCTCGGCCACAGCCCGGTCAGCCTTATGAGCACTCTGCAGCTGACCCAGGTGAGCATGACCCTGCTCTGTCAGTCACCCATGCTGCAAAGCACTGGACTGAAGACTCTGAGCCTCACGCCTGTGCAGGTGGGCTACAGGTCAGGCGAGCCCGTCTGGAGGCCCGACTCCTCCAGCTGAGACCTGCCAGACGTCCTGTTCAGGCTGGGCTCTGCTGGGACGGCTCTGCTCTGCATGTCTCCTCCTCCTCTTGGGGCCAGTGGAGAGCGGGGCAGGTTCCCTGAGGTGATGGCCGAGGCACAGAGCTCTAGGATGGCACAGACCATCAGCTCCGGCCCACTCTCTTTCCTCTTCCTTGCAGCCGTGGATGGCCACTGATTAGTGTTGGCAAATTAGATCACAGTGGGAATCTGTAGAGGGCTCAGGGGGAAGGAAAGAATTTGCCTTTCCTTGTATGAGGAGCAACCACTAGTATTATTCCATTCTCCCCTATTCCTACACTGAATGCACAGTGTGATGTCTGAAGCTGTAGCCACCATATTGCTCCTGTAAGGTAAAGTCAAGAGACTCACGCACAGTTTTCCTGTTGCTGGAGGAGCAACGTGTCTCTGGATTTCTTGACCTGTGAGGAAAAATAAACCCTATATGTTTATGTTACTGTTAATTGCAGCCAAGAACTTTTCTCACTAAAACCCTGAAGCAACTTATCAGCATAATTCTGTATCTGCCCTAAGTGGATTATCAGAATTGATGAGAAAGTAAGATACTGCATTTCAATTCAGGTCTCATGGATCACTCAATATGTGCTGTTCACCTTCCATGTACTGGTCACCAACAGCCAGCACCCCTGCCCTGCCCTCTGAGAGCCTCTCCTAGCAGATGCAAGATGTTACCAGAACGGCAGCACAGAGTATCTTTGTCAAACACACACTTGATCCCAAACTGAAACGTTGAGGATCACATCAATGATTTTCTGCACCAGCAGCCAGTTCCCAGAACAGGCCAAGGAATGGGCTAGCTGGATGGCCCTGACAGTCCCTTCTCTTTTTAAATTTGCTGTTTCATTTACTAACTAAAGAGTTGACCCTGATGACTACTAAATTATCTTCCAGGTCAAGGCTTCCCTATCCTGGGATAATTGCCATGGGATAAGGAAATATTAACAACATTTTGGAAAAACTCCACTTTGCAAGCATTGGGGTAAAAGCATAGTTTTACGTGACAAGTCAAAATCAGGAGAGGAGTGCTGCAGAAGTTAACGGAACACCCTGATCCTTCTTGCTTGGGGGAAGCGTTGCAGAGTGGGATTGGCAATTGTTTAATAAGCTCCAACTGATGCTGCACACGGCATCTCTCGAGCAGGAATCCAGGTGACAGCACCCCACTGGCCTGCACTTGAAGAGCGTGGAATTCACCAGGCCCCGTGTGTGTGCACTGGGCTGGCCTTCTGTGGGGACACACCACTGTGACTTTATGATGTTTTACAGCCAGTGACGGTCCCAATGGCCCCCGCAGGAGCCCTGGGAAATGCCACCTTACAGGAAAGCACGTGGGCAGGGGGCAGAGAGCTGAAGGTGTGCAGGGCACACAGAGCCATTCGGGGCAGTGGGCGAGGAGATGTCAGGGCAGCAGCCCTCCCAAGGACTTGAGCTGAGGCCAGACGCGTCTCACACAGACATCCACACAGGTGTCCCAGAGCCACGATGGCACGAGGGTCAGTGGGTGCAGGGGACACCGACTGTGTAATGGGGCGCTCTAGCTCTCTGCGCTGGGCAGTGGGCTCTCCCAGGCTCACTTCCTCCGCTGTGGAAGGGTAAGGGGAGGTTCTACTTGCAGATGGCAGCAGGGACTACTGCAGTGTGGCTGGAGGGGCCTGCAGCTGGCAGAGGCTCTGGCCCCAGCGCCAGATTCACCTGCATGGCCAGCGGCCATACGCTTGCCGACCCGCGCCAGGGGCCAGGAGCCCTTGGTCTGAGGTCCAGCCCATCAATATCCAGGAGCCTTCCCCACGGGCCATCGCCTTCTGCGCGGTGACGACAATGATCTATTGATTTCAAAGCATGTCACCGGGGTGAAATGAGGCGTGAAAGGACGTTGTGCCCTGCGCTTCCACACTTCCTGCTCTCGGTGCCAAAAAAACGCGCCCAGGCCCCGCTGGGCAAAAGGAGCAGCCAGGGGCCACCTCCAGCCCAGCCTCGCCGCTTGCTGTCCGTCCTCTGCCAGGGACTCCTGGCTCCACGCCCCGTGCTGTCACCCGCCCATGAGGATGAGACCCTCCTTTGTCACTGGGGCGCACTCCCCAGAGGAGCGAGACCCCGCGAGCTCAGACTGCCCCGATGTGTGCGACCCACCCGGCAGCGGGGGACCGGTGACGCGTCCTCTCCGGAGAGTGGAGCCAACTCAGGGGGCGGGTCCGCACGCACTCGAGGTGGGAGGTGCCTGCTGGGCATCGCGAGAGCGTCGCAGGCGCGGGGACTGCCTCCCCCTCACACGGGCTGCGTGAGGGCCCGGTGCGGAGTCCCTGCTGCCCAGGGCAGGGCATCAACGGGCAGTCAGGCCCTCTGCCCTGCTCTCCAGCCCTCTGCGAGGCGGGTACTTCTTATCTCCTCTCCACACAGCAAGGCTCAGGGGCCGAGGTCCTGGGCCTGGGGGATTTGGAGGCAGCCAGGTGAGGACAGAGGTGGAGGCCACTGCAGTGACACACCTGCAAGCCGAGGGCCACCAAAGATGGCCAGTGTGCCCGAGCCGAGGAGGCTGGGATGGGTGCCCCCAGACCCTCAGCAGGGCCAGCCTGGTGTCAGACACAACGGCCAGAGCCGGAGCTGGTGTCCACCGTTTTAAGTCCCAGTTTGTGATCACTTGTTCACAGCAGCCTGGAGAACTACTGAAAAAAATAAAATAGGTTTTGGGGCTGGGCATGTGGCTCAGGCGGTAGCCCGCTGGCCTAGCATGTGTGAGGCACTGGGTTCGATTCTCAGCACCACATAAAAATAAAGAAATAAAGATATATTTAAAAGGCCTCTCAGGGCCTTTAAAAAAAAAAAGGTTTTAACCTGTGATGGACCCCAGGCCTCCTCACCTACTGCCTCCTGCCCCCAGCATCTGGCTGGCTCTACAGCATTCTAATTGGCAATGCCTGGTTCAGTCAACGAACTTAAATAAGGTGGATTCTGAAAGCAGATATCTATAAGAGTGAATGTCAGAATGTAGAAAAAGGAACCAACAGAAGAAAGTCCCGGCTAATTCCACTACCACTTGAGTGTAGAGAGACTGTCTGACTGTGACTCCAGATCCCGATGTAATAAAAGAAAAGATGAACACATGTAATGACATTAAAGTTCATCGTTTTCGTGGTACAAACACCATCAACAGAATCAAAAGACAATTGATGGATGGGGAAAGAACATTTCCAATGTAAATGTAGATAAAGGGATAATGTGACTTAATACCTAAATGATGAAAAATCAAAAATTTGAGGGAAACGAGACAAAAACCTGATTGAAAAATGGGTAGGAAGTGGGGTATGTGGTGCATGCCTACAATCCCAGCAACTTGGGAGGCTGAGGCAGGAGAATCACCGGTTTGCAGTCAACCTCTGCAAATGTAGCCAGGCTCTAGGCAACTTAGTGAGGCCTTGTTTCAACATATAAAGGGCTGGGGGTACAACTCAGTGGTGAAACTACCCTGGATTCAATTTCAATCCCCAGTACCAAAAAAAAAAAAAAAAATAGCCAACCATGCACTGGCAACTTAAAGATACAGAGTGACATCCCCTCTGTTTCTCTGACCCTGTCAGAGACCCCAGATCCTGTTATCATTTGATAATTGTTTCTGCTCAAAGTAGATCTGCTGCAATGTGCAGGTGGCATGGGATATTTCCAGATATCCGCCCACCCATAGGGACAAGGGCTCTGCAGCCTACAGTGCACACCAGCCTCGCTCGCACAGCTTCTGGAGACCGCCTTAGAGGACCTCACGGGGCGTTTCATTGTAACAAGAGCATCAGCTTCTGCTTAGCTACTTGGAAGGGGGGAGCCTGGCGGGTTGGCTGAGCTCTGGTGTGCTTGTTTAAAGAGAGACCTCGGTATTCCGGAGTCATACCTTGCTGCCCAAACAGTGCATTATCTGCCTTTGGAATGTGTTTTTCACCCACAGTGAATCTGCACGTGTCTCCTCTGGACACTTCCAGCAAGGCCTGTGGCTTCGCGGGAGGGCATACCGCTCTGAGACGTGATACTACTCTGACCCCTGCAAGCCAGCAGAGGGGGCAGATGCAGTTCAGCCTGGATGCGCATCCCGAGGTCAGTAGGCCGTGGTTTACACAAACAACCAGACTCCAAGCTGTCCTCCAGCCATGATGTAGAGTCACTGACACAGAAGGACATTTGAGAATTCACAAATACGGAGCACTGTCTTACTTTCATAGAGTAACCCGGATTCTTACCATTTTTTTTTTTTTGGTAAAAGTATGTACACATAAATATATAATTGTCTAGAAGAACATTTTTACGTTGGTGGTGACTGAGAAGGTGTTTTTGTGACTTTCTATTACTTCTCAGTGAGGTATGATATCTTTACAAGGAGCATGTATTCCCTCGCGAACAGACAAAATGACAATATATAGGTTTTTAAACCCCTTATTTACTTGAAAATACTTCAGAAAGAAAATGTGTGATACAAGTAGGAGCAGGACCACAGGTGGAGGGGACTGTCCTCTGGCTCTGCTGGAGCTCACACCTGCGGCCCCAGCGCGCCCGGTGGACGTAGGAGGACGGTCAGGGCAGGGCTTGGGCCAACTGGGCTGCCTTGCATGGTCTGGGCTCTAAGACCAATCTTGTCCCTGCTGAAGCTGCCCCGTGGTGAGGGGTCACCATGCTGCTCCTTACCGTTGGGGCATGTTTGGAATTTTCTATGATAAAAAGGAAAGTGAAACGGGCCACTCGACGCGGAGCACGGTGGATCGCCTGCTGACTGTCAGAGGACACCTTTGCTGTGGTGCAAGAGGCAGGGACATAGGAGAAGCCACAAGCACCCACCACAGCTGGGTCTGCCGCATGCCGTGGTGAGAGCCAGAGCCGCCGGCTGGTGGCCCCGGGTTGGTGGTTTACCCTTGCTCAGCCTCCACTCCCCATCTGTAATCAGGCCTCCATGTGTACAGGAAACCCTAATTACTATCATGATTGCTGTTGTTAATCAAAGCAGCCTAGGGGGCTGGAAGCAGCAGAGCCATGCCCCAAGAGCTGCTGTCACACGTGTGTGTCGGGACCACCAGGTTGCTAGCACAAATGCAGATTCCAAGGCTCACACTGCAGGGAGTGCCCCTCCTTCTCTGGGATCAGCTTAGGATTCTCGATTCTAAAGAGCCCAGATGATGCCACTGGAGACCAATGGCATCCAGCCCAACACTAGACACCCCAGACTGCTGTGGATAAAACTGTCACTGGTGGAAACCAGGGCTTGGCATCACTTGGGGACAATTGCCCAATTATGACTGCAGGTGGACTTTGTCAGTAATCATGGCTAGAAAAACTGGCACCAATAAGACACCTTTGGAGTCTCCAGTTTGCAGAAATAGCAAATGAACCATGTGTCCTGTTTGTTATTTCCTTCGGGAGGGACAGAGTCTGTGGATCATTGACCTAGGTCAGGCTCCAGTTCCAACATGAGCGGACAGCATGGCCTGAGCAAATTCCTTGACCGCTCCACACCCATAAAATGGGAATAAGGATGGAGGCAACAGGACCTGTTGTATGTCACGGCGGTGACCCCACGAGGGGCCAGGAGCCCAGGCAGGGAACGAGAATCGTCACAGGAGAGCAGGGTGTAGGCCATGGGAAAGAGGGATCCCCAGAGGTCACACCCTGAGGATGCACCCCAGGAAAATTCAGTAGCAATCTGTGCCAGGAGCTTCCCCGTGTCCTCCAGGGAGCATGATGGACACCATGTTCACAGGGCACTGATCTCAACTCTGCCTCTCTTGTCCCAGTCCCCACTGGGCCTCCCCAGGTTTTCTCCTGGGCTGGACTCTGAGTTAGAGGAGAAGCAAGGTGTTGGAGTCAGGGAAGGACTCTGCACTTTGGAACAGTGGGCTGATTGATTTATGGTCCCTCCTGGTCATCACCTGCAACCATTGGAGTAAGAACTGTCAGTTCAGACACCAGAAGCAACCCCATGCATGTGTCATGCCTTTGTTATAAAATAATCATCTGGGTGGACTTGTGGCTTCTGATCTCAAAAATAAAGCAAGTTGTATTGCATTCCAGCCTGTGGAAGGGACAGTTCCCCCTTCTCCCCCACAGTCTTGTGCCCAGAGGTAGCCAAGGACTAAAGATGCAGACAGGGGCTGGGGATGCGGCTCAAGCCGTAGTGCGCTCACCTGGCATGCGCCGGGCGCTGGGTTCGATCCTTAGCATCACATAAAAATAAGGTGAAGATATTGTGTCCACCTAAAACTTAAAAAATAAATATTAAAAAAAAAAGATGCAGACAGACATAGCTGGCTGCCCTAGATTAGATCATGCTAATGTCAGCACAGCCCCCTGCCCAGTCAGGCCCAGGGCAGCTGGGCCCGAATGCCCAGTGAACTCAACGCAGTGTGCTCCCTTCTGCACACCCAGCTCCCTCCCTCTCCTTGCAGCCCTGCTTTCCCAGAACTGGCTTGGAGGTGTGCACACCTTCTGACCTGGCCCGAGCCCAGAGCCCTCTGTCTCTGCCCAGGATCCCCAAGCCCTCCACAACACCAGTGGCTTCTGCAGAAGGGGCGGCAGGTGGGGAAATTGAAACAGGCAGGGGTCACCTGGTGCGTGTGCAGAGCTGGGTGAGAGAGTCCCGGAGCCCCAGTGGCAGGGGCTGTTGGGGATGGAGCCCTGGGCTGCAGGGCTAGCACTTGGCACCTGGCACCAGCATGCAGAGCCTCAGGGCCATCCACCCTTTTCCCGAGGAGAAGCTGATGGACCAATGGTCTCAGGCAAGGAGTCGAGGTGGTCATCTCCCATCGGTGTGCAACCTACCTTCCAAGACCCCCAAACCTGAAACAGAGAGGTCTGATCTCGGAGGGTAAGGATTTAACATCCATTATGAGCTGAATTAAGTGGAGCCCAACTGAAGTTCAGGGGGATATGACACTGAATTGGTTTCCTGTGGGTGCTCTAAAGAAAGATCGCAAAGAAGTGGGGGGGGGAGCTTAAAATAATGGATTCACCCTTCCACACAGCTCTGGAGGCCAGGAGTCCAAAGCCAAGGTGTGGGCAGGCTGAGTTCCCCTTGAAGGTTCTGCAAGACCCTCCCTGCCTCTTGGGGTGCACGGTGGCCTGGGCATCGACCCCTTGGCTCCAATCTCTGCCTCTGTCTTCAAGTGGCCTTCCCCCTAAATCTCTGCAGGCTCTTTTCTGTCTCTTGTAAGAAGAGTCCCATTGAATCTCCAGCCTTTGCTAATCCACTGTATTCCTGATCCTTAATTACATTCGCACAGACCTTGTTTCCAAACAAGGTCAGGTCCCAGGTTCCAGGTGGACATAGAATTCGGGGGGATGCTATTCATCTCAGTTTGACATTAAATATCAAACGGCACATCAAGAATTAACAAGAAGGCGTTGGGAGCTGGGTGGACTTGGACCAGGGGTCCTGCAGGCAGGCCTCTGCCCTCTCAGGTCACAGGGACTCTGGTCAGCACTCTGACTTCTGCTGCAGCTGGCCGCTGGTTCCTGGCTCTCTTTCACAGATGAGCAAACTGAGGCTCAGAGGGGTTGAACGAGTGCCAGGCCAGAGCTGGGACTGGAATCCAGGTGTGCACGGTGCCCCGGGGGCTGGGCTTGAGAAGCCTCTGGAATGAGAAGGTCCAAGATGCGTCCACTCGGGGGGCCTCCTTTGTCAAGAGGACAAGTTGTTCCTGGCTTACTCAGATCTTAGATTTTGGAATGTGACCACTTCCCTGGAATCCCATAAAAGAATAAGGCCCAAGAAAACAAGGAGGAACTCAGTCACTGCTTGTGGGGGGCACCCAACAGTCCCCGGAGGGCCCCTGTGCCTGCTGGGAAGCCACCTGGCTCTGACCCCACGCCTCTTCTCCCAGGGTGATGAGAGCCCTGGGGTGGCTCCTGGGAACCTTGCCTGGCGGGTGGGGGCAGGAGAGGAGTGCTGCTTCACCAACAGGCCTCCCCAACACAGGTGCGCCTGAGGACCCAAGAGAGAACTTCCCTAGACGTTCTCAGCACCCCCGACGGTGCCCTGAGGAACCCACACACCCCCGAGCGAACCCCAGAACCAGGCTGGGGGCTCTGCCCAGAGGGCACCCCAAGGCCGGCACATCTGGCAGCCACCAAGGAGATGGGCCGGGCCTAGATCGCCAGGACACCGAAAGGACATCTTCTGGGGGAAGGGCGCCGGGGAACGCACCTCGCTCCGTCCTGAGTTTCTAGAAGTGGAGGATCCTGAAGTCGTGGGATCCAGAGGTGGGACGCCGCCCGGGCTCCCCTTCCCCCAACCACAGTACGGGCCAGTGCAAATTCCGGGGCAGTAGCTGCCACCTCTGGTACTTCCTGCCAGGTTCTCCCTGACCCTTGGCCCCTGGGTTTGCATTTTCTCTGTTCCACAGGCCGAGGAGGTGGCCCGCTGAAAGAAGATGGACTGATGATCGGCGGCTGATAGTCTCCTCTCGTCAAGGTTTTTGGAGAAGGCTTACTCCTCCCACTACCCCACCCCCAGGCAGGCAGGCCGCCTAAAAAATGTAGGTGCCGGCCCTCTGTGAGCTCACCACCTTCTCACAAGCCCCCTGTGGTGGTTATTATTACCCTCATTTTTCCGGGGAGGCGCCCAGGGCTCAGAGAGGCCAAGTGACTTGCCCAAGGTCACACAGCTCAGCAGGGGCAGATAGAGAGTTGGAACGCGGGTCTCCAGAGCCCCGCTCCAGTAGCTCTTTCTAGACGGCCGCCACCTTCCCGGGATACTGCTCAGGAATAAAGCAGGAAGGCCCAGCTCCTGGCTTTCCCCCAAAAACAAGGCTCCGCGCAAATCTGCGGGAACAAAAGCGACCAGAAATCCGCCCCGGGTTTTCCGCCTCGCCAACCGTGGCCCACCAATCGGGTGGCGCCGGCCGCCGAGGGGC